AATATTATCAATGTCATGTGTTGTATATGAGGGTGATATCTGGAGAAGTGGAGGTAAAGGGGAGCTCTCAGAAATAGGCTCAAGGGTAGGCTCATCAACCAGTGGGTTGTCAGGGTTTAAATATAGGCCTTTATACTCTACTAAATCCTCAATATTAAAAGTCGAATCAATATTAAAACCTTCAGTAAGGTCGAGAACATAAGCATTATCATTAATTTTCTTGAGAATTTTGAAAAGCCCTGCACTTAGTGCATGCAACTTTTTAACAGTTCCCGGAAGAAACCGTTCCGGACGTATCCGAGCCATCACGTAGTCATCAATACTAAATTCTTTGAACCTTCTTTTTAGATTTGCTCACATTTTATAGTTAGCATTGCTATCGATGATCTTTTTACTGATTTTCTTATGCAAGTCATGAATACGAGATGCAAATGCAAATGCTGACTCAGATACTCTGTGATGTGCAGGCACGGGGAAAAGATCTATAGGTTGTCTAGGTTTGTAACTATACACGACTTCAGTTGGACTGACACCTGTAGACCTATTTACGAAGTTATTATAAGCAAATTCAGCAGTAGGCAGAGATGTTGATCCCAATCCCTAAGATTCTCACCAACTAGCATTCTTAATAGGTTACCTAAGCTCTTGTTAACTACCTCAGTTGGACCATCGGTCTGGGGATGAAAGACCGTTGATAGTTGAAGCTTAGTTCCCATCTTGTGCCAAAAGGTTTTCCAAAAATAAACTTAACGTCCCTATCAGACATAATTGTTTTCGGTAATCTATGCAGTTTAACTTCGTTAAAGTACAACTTAGCCACATGAGAAGCGTCGGAATTCTTGGAGCACGGTATGAAGTGGGCCATTTTAGAGAATCGGTCCACAACAATAAGGACAAAATCATATTTTCTAATCGTTTTTGGAAGTCCTAACGCGAAATCCATACTGACATCCTGCTATGGACAATTTGGGACAGTAAGAGTGTACAGACTAGTATTTTGCTTATGTTGCTTAGCCAGTTGGCATGTGTGACATCGACCCATTAGCCTAACAATGTCACGTTTAATGCTTGACCAGTAAAAGCGACATTCAACTGCCTCGACAGTCTTGTTATTCTCAAAATGTCTCGCAAGGCCTCCAGCATGTAGTTTCGAAATAAAAATTTCTCTTAGAGAGGTGTTGGAAATACAAAACTTGTTAAAATGGAAAAGATATCCATCCTTTAGGAGAAAACCATCTATTTCACGGGTCACTCCATCACTCAGCAAAGTGTAAACTTTGCCAAAATCAGAGCACGACTCATACTGATCTTTGACTTTCTCAAAATCGATTACTTCCGCACTCATAATGGAAAGAAGGTGCATGCGGCGACTAAGTGCGTCAGCGGCCTTATTTTCTACGTCTACTTTATGTCTAATCGTGTAGGTGTAGTCCTAGAGGAACTCAACCCATCGACCATATCTGTCATTCAGCTTCTTTTGGGAATGAATATATCGAAGGGCCTCATGATCAGAATATATGACGAATTCTTTCGGCAGTCGGTAGTGACGCCAGTGGCGAAGAGATTATATCACCGCATAGAATTTTTATTATAGATGGAATAGAGTTGTCTTGTATCATTCAACTTCTCGCTAAAGTAAGCAACAAGATGTCCTTCTTGAGATAGAACTCCACCAATACCAATACCAGAGCCATCGCATGCAATTTCAAAGACCTTAGAAAAATCAGGTAAGCGCATAACAGGCGCCTGCGATATTTTTTGCTTGATCTCCACGAAGGCCTTGGTAGCCACCTTTGACCACTCAAAGTCGCCTTTCTTCAAAGCAATCGGTAATAGGGACCATGATGGTGCTGAAACCCTTGACAAACCGACGATAAAAAGTAGCGAGTCCGTGAAAGCTTCGAACATCTCTGATGTTCTTGGGTTCAGGTCATTCTTCGATAGCTCTAACATTTTCATGGCCAACGGATACTCCTTCAGAAGAGACCACGAATCCTAGAAAAATAACTTGTTGTGTAAGAAAAGTACATTTTTTAGGATTGGCATAGAGTTGTTCTTTTCTTAACTCAACACAGACTTGAAGCAGATAGTCTACATGTTGCTCACGAGATCGACTGTAAATAAGAATATCATCAAAGTATACCACCAAGAATTTTCTAGTGAATGAGCGGAGTACTTGAGTCATCACTCTCATAAAAGTGCTCGGAGCATTAGTCAAGCCAAAGGGCATGATCATCCATTCGTACAATTTATCTTTCGTCTTGAAAGTTGTCTTCCATTCGTCACCGGGACGGATGCGAATCTGATGGTAGCCACTCTTAAGATCAATCTTCGAAAAGATAGTGGCTCTAGACATTAGATCAGACATGTTATCTTACCGGAGAATGGGGAAATAATACTTCACCGTGATCTTGTTAATTGCACGGCTATCTACACACATACGTCATGTTCCATCTTTCTTAGGCGTCAGTAACGCGGGGACCACACAAGGACTCATGATTTCTTTCACAAAGCCTTTCTTCAGCAGCTCATCAACTTGCCTCTTCAGCTCTGCATGTTTGTTGGGGTTCATCCGATAGTGAGGTAAATTGGGAAGGGTTGCTCCCGAAACTAAATCAATTGCGTGTTGGATATCACGCATCGGGAGTAACTGATCTGGGAGGTCCTCGGGGAAGACGTCATAGAATTCTTTTAACACAAGAGCGACTTCTGGAGGAACCACATCGGTAATATCCTCGGGAGCTTATCTAGGAGTGAAGATGAAAACGGGAGCTCTATTGGCCAGTTCACGATCGATCTCTTTGGCTCCAATCAGGTTAATGCCTTTGGAAGACTTGTCTGGAGTAGGCTGCTTGTCACTACCTTTCGGTTGAACCGGAAGGATCTTGACCTTCCCGTCATGCTCGAACAATAGCATGTTTGACCGTCTGAAGATATGAATGTTGTTATCAAACAACTAGGGTCTTCCAATAATCACTTGACCCACATTCATTTCAGAACATCACACCAAACGGTCCAAACCTTATCCTTGTAAATGGCAAATTGAAGAGGGACTAAACACCTCTCTTGGACATAAAGTGCAGTGTCATTAATCCACGATACCTTGTATGGATTAGGATGGTGTACGGTCTTAAGACCAATCTTAGTTATCATAGCTGAGGAGACCGCATCAATGCATCTTCCACGATCACTTTACAATTCTTATCGCCAATCTTTGTGAACGTGTGAAAGATAGAAGTACGTCTCCAATCATCAACAGCTTTGGGTTAGGAGATGACGTATCTAACAACAGGTATGGTCGTGATCTCAATTTGTCTAAGACAACCTAAGACAGTATCATCTACGTCATCCTCAAAATCATCGGTATCATCATCAACTTGATGGACAAATTCATCTTTATCAAGTACAGTTCATATTCATATTGGTCATCGTTGATAGAAACTTTATGACGAGTCGAGCAGTTCGCAGAAACATGTCCATACCCTTGACATTTGTAGCACTTGACGTGAGGGCTAATCTTAGAGAAATCTCTCTCTGGTTCTTTTCCCTTGGGGTCGACTCTAGGCTAGGAAGAACTAGGTTAGATCGACTCTGAGATTGACTAGACGTAGGGGCACGGGTGGGCTGAGAGGAATGAGTTCGGAAGTATTGACTCTTATGAGATTAATGGGATTTAGCTTCATCCAAATCTTGAATTAAGGCGTAGGCTCTCTCAAGGATATCTATTCCTCTAGCAAAGAGTTCGGTTTGGAGGCCACTTCTCAATCCCGCTCTAAACTTCGATAAGACTTTCATTGGCGCCTCTTGCTCAATGGCGCTGCATCGAGTGAACAATTCGTCAAATTAAGCAACGTATTTTTCCGCAGATTTGATTCCTTGAGTAAGGCGATGCCACTCGTTTAGCAATCTCTGATAAAACGATGGCGGGAGGTATTTCCTTTTTAGCTCATCAGCCATTTCTCGCTAAGTTAAAATCGGTAACTCACCTCTAATATGCCTTAACGTTTCGAGATTGGACCAATATTGGCAAGTTGGTCCAGTAAGTTTCATTGATGTGAACTTAACCTTTCGGGGTTCCGTCAAGACGTAGCAATCGAAGTAGCGATCCATATCAATTATTCAGCCAGTCCAAGAAAGCTTATGGGTCAAGCTTGTCATCAAAGGTTGGTGCTTCAACTTTAATGCTCCTTAGGTATTGCACATCTGGATCAGACACAAGTTAATGTGGGGGTCGATGAACAATGTGTTCATAACCTTGACCTTGCGGCGGCGGGGTTGCAATACGTGCTTCTTCGAGCATAGCGAACCTTTTGTTGGTTTCATTCTGAAAATCCGTCAGGGCCTCACGGGTAGCTCTGCACTCCTGGACTACAGCACCTAGTTGTCCTACTAGCTCTTCGAATTTCTTAAGGAGTTCGGATTCTATACTGTCTGGCATGCTGGACTCACTAGTCGATTCACTTGACTCTCCTAATCGATAGTGTAGACCTGTGTGAGTGGGCATGCATTACAACTAAATGAGATGATTGGTATGCACTAACAGCTAAATGAGATGAATGGTAATAATAATTTTTTATCAAATAAAAGACTCAATTAAACTAATCTAAAAATTTCCTAACCTAGAACCACACTCTGATACCAAAAATGATGTGAAACAATGTGTATGCAGGTATGAAGAACAGCGACAACAATGCTTCACCAAATCATCGATTGATCTTGGCAGGAAACTCGAGAATAAAATGAAGCTCTAGATGATTTTTAAGCAAAAGTTGTCAATGTACTAAGTTTACAGCCTTGTAAATTATTCAGAAAATAAATGTAATGATCCGTTATCGTAATAAGGTTCGACTTGTAACATTTAGATTTGCAGATATACTTGGCAACAAAATCACTTGCTCACTAATCAAACAGAATACAACACAATCACAATTGATATTAAAATTAATAGTAACACGCACGGAATAGTGCTTCCGAAAATACTGGGTCGAAAAAAACTAAACCTTCGTCAGGCTGAACTGGTTCGACGTGAGGGACCTCAAAAAAATGGTGTGATGACACCAAATCTGAGTGGCGGAAGTTCTCCTCCGAGAGCTACGTAACTGGGATGAAGCGACGTGTCTGGATAGAAGCATCGGTGCTACGAGCTGATTCCCAAACGACTCTCCACGTTCTCAGCAATCTGCGGAGTCACGCGCTCAATGTATTCGGCTACGGTCTCGAACGACTGATAATCAAACCACTGAGAGAGCTGTAAATCAACCACACCTGTCTCTGGATCATACACGAACTGGGCGTCTTCAGCTTCAGGATCGACCATTCACCAAAGGGCTGTAGAATCAGGACTCGAATCGACGACGATGCGGGCAGCGACGCCGAACTGGATGACAACAAACCGATCAGTGATGATGGCGGACTGATCGTCGACGACGACAAACTGAGTGTCGACGGAAGTGACAGTGTCGATTGGACGATGTGGTCGCCTGCAGTGTTGGTGGTGGCTGCTCCAGTTAAAGGAGGGGGGAAGCGGGGTTGGCACTAGTTGTTGGGAAAGAAAAAGGGCAGGAGAGGGGAAGTCGAGTGTCGGCTACTGTCGGGGGTGTGGGGCAGGAAGGGGAAGCGCGACTGCTGTTGAGGAGGAGATGGGCAGTGGCAGGTTGATGAGGGAGGGCTGGGTGCGGCTGCAGGGAAGAATAAGAGGGCA